ATATATAATGATTGATTGATTTTATCATTGATTGATTGATATATAGATAGATGTGTGTGTATGTATATAACATAGACTGCAGTTTTTGCTTTGATGACTTCTTTGGCTGGTGCAGGGTTAATACTAGTATGACCTTGGGCTGACACACACATGCATAGACTGAAGTGTAGCACACATGACAGATCCGGTCATACAATGATTCAGATGCAGAAGACATGCAGGTCCAACAGCACACTACAGAACTGTACTTTGCATGCTGCCCTTGCTGCAATCATGTGTTCCTGCCTTTCTGATGCTATTTACATCCAAATCAATGAAATTATGATACTGCGATGCTGATGGCGATGGAATGTTTACCATAGGGGAGCAATATTGGGAAATTCAGGTTTCCAGTGGTGCAGAGCACATAGGCAGCTCTCTGCTATAGTAATAGAATTGCTGCATGAATTAGGGAAGCCATGGTTCTAGAGAGCAGCAGAGCTCCGGAGATGGCTCTGCCATGGCACACAGGGAGCAGTACTGGAGCATCATTGCAATCTGGATTTGCACTGCATCAGAATTGAACATATGTGACCTAATACGATTGCACCGCTGGCTGGGTGTCAGACACCCTGATTGTAGTAAGCCCCTTACAGGGAGAGGATGAAAAGATCTTATTTACGGCAGCTACTAGACATGCCCCCCCCCCACCCCCCGATCTACAATGTGACATATACATTCCATACAGCAGCATGAACGATGATTAACACTTACAGTCTACGGCGCTGCGGATTCACCTGATGCGAACACAATGGAGACCCCACTGACCGCCTGGAGGGGGATAGCAGGGGTAGGTGTGCAAGTCAGGGGGGTGATCCCGGCCGTGCTTGCTTTAATTCCCTCCTGGACGGCGCCCGGTGTCAGCGCCAGCAGTACAAGCTCCGCTCTGTGCGGCACGATCGGGGATCCCGTACAAAATCTGGGCTCGGCGCAGGGCGCAGGCGCGATGGACAGCAGCAGCCCGAGAGCCTCACTCCTCCTCTCCGTGTTTCCTCCACACCTTCCTCCTGCCCTTCCTCCCTCCGTTGCCCACCTTTCGCCCCCTCATTGCCCAGACCATGGCTCGGCTTTGTGTTGTCACTCCTGATTTCCAGAGAAATGGTTACAATGTTGCTTTGCATGCAGGCTGCTATGTTGCTGTCACCTCTTCAATGAACTCTCCATTCTTTGTCCTGGAATCTAAGAGGACCAGTTACCAGTTACAGGTTTTTGTAATACTAGTCCGGCGTTTCGGTCACGGCGTCCTTTAAGTGCGCAAAATCGTGAGGTGCTCCAGTCTAAAATGTAAAAAAAGTGTGGTCCCTCCAAAATCCTTACCATACATCCTGCATTTTAAGGGGGGACCCCAGGAAAAAACCACGCACAACAAATGTGAGGTTGCCACCTTCACATTAGGAGCCCTCTACAGACCCCTCCACCTTCACCCCAGACTCCCTCCTTTCACATCAGACCCCTCCACCTTCACCCCAGACTCCCTCCTTTCACATCAGAGCCCCTTCCCCACTTTCACATCAGAACTCCCCCCTTTTACATCAGAGCCCCCCAGAATAGAATACTCTAGTTCCTTCTTAAAGTGTATGAGAACCCAAATACTATTTTACAGTGTGTATGGCGTCTTGCCTCACTGTATACAGTTTTCCTAATCAAATAATATTTGTGAATCTATTGCAAAGTTTCTTGTCTGGAGATCCTGCCAGTGACGGCACATCCTGTTTCAGGTTGACAACACTATGCTTCAGCCATGCAGGTAGCAGCAGCAGTGTTGTCAGTCTGCTGTGCACACTCCTTTAGTTGGCCATTGGGTTGACTATCAGGACTGCACATGCCTCCTGCAGCCCAATGGCCAGCTGAATGAGTGCACACGGCAAATGGACATCGCTGCTGTTTATTGTCAGGCAGATGTTTAGCGTTGTCAGCTTGGAACAGGAAGTGCTTTTACTGGCAGGATCTCCAGGTGAGCAACTTTGCAAGAGATAAAAAAAAAAAGAAAACTGGATATGGGATGAAGCCAAACATACTGAAAACAGAGTTGGGGTTTACATACACTTTAAGATGGAGTTAATGGTGTGGCTATAAGTTCTTGAGTATGCTCCTGGCGCTCATTAGAACCAAGGAAACGAATTGCATGTGTGGTGAATAGGGATGAGCGAACCAAGCAAAGTTCAGTCCATTGCACTGAAAGCTGTAGCAACTCCGCTAAACCTGAACATAGCCGCCGAACTCCATAGAAGTCTGTTGGATCTGAATCTTGGGGGTTTTTGCCCTTTTTCTAAGGCCAGTTAGCAAGCTTCTGTTTAAAAAAGGGGCAAAGGTAGCTGGGCGTGCCATGGGGGACAGGTACCAATGCAAAATATACCGTTCAGAGGGAAGAGCATCAACATTAAAAATACAGAATTCAGTCCCTTTGTGTATCTCCCGTGCGGTTCCCTCCAGGTCCCCATTATGCTTTCGTGGATGCCAGCCTGACGGATCCTTCCTTCATATATGGTAGGAGTGCCCCAAAATTCGGCGATTCTGGTCTAGGGTGTATCAGCTAATCTATACTGTAACAGGCCACTCATTCAGCAATAATCCGATTCAAGCACTACTCGGTAAAAAAACGGTATCATGCTCATGGACCCAGTTTACGTTGGTCACCCATATTCTTACTGAAGCCAAGAGAGTGATTGCACGCTCATGGCATACTACCTCGGTCCCCTTTGCCGCAGTTAAACCTAGGGTCTCACAAATCATCTTTTTCGAGAAAATGTCAGCTGTCCAGGCAGATAAGTTACCTAAATTTGAAAAAATCTGGGAGCCGTAGATTGTCTCCTATATGCCCCAAACCTTCCATCTTGATTCACTCATTATCTAAACCTTCTACATTCCTGCTTACCTCTGTCACCCTTTCTGCTCTCCCTCCCCATCCCCCCTCCTTGGCACTGTGTCTCCTTCACAGGATCTCTGTTCGGGCAGAACCTGAACGGTGGTCTAACCACCTCCTTTGCAGTTTGTACTAGACGATAGAATGATATGGGTTGTATGTCCTGCTGTATACGGCTAATTTCTCTGCATGCATACGCAACGTTGAATGTTATCTACTTATGTCTTCTTTTACTGGGCTGTATGTACAGCTCTTGTATGGCTGTAAGTACTATTTACATTTGCAAAAACTTTAAAATCAATAAAATTGATTGAACAAAAAAAAAATTCAATTCAAAAACATGCTTAGGGTATGCCTTAAAGCCGCATGTGAAGTGCCGGAATGATGTACTCCATCAAAAGTGACATTCATAAAAAAACAAAACAAAACTAAATGACAGTTGCTGGCCGACTTCATTCTTTTGTAAAAAACGATGTGGGGTCCCAATCAAACCAGCCCCCTATCCACCCCCACCATGTTAATACAGAGAAGGGCCTCATCCCCACAACCCCTCTCCTGTTAAACTTATCGGTACCTGGAAAATAAGGGGGGACAGTTATGCGGCCCTCCCCTCTAAGTGGACATGTAGGACATACAGCTTGTTACTCATTCACAATACAATTGAAATAGTATATAAAAACACCCACACCTCAGAAAAAGTTCTTTATTAATAAATAAATAATACCCCCTATGTAAAACCAACATCAATCACATCGTCCAGCGCTATAGAGCCAACGTCAATCACAATGAGTAACACTGATGACTCACCAACACAACAAACTGCGCCATGATGACTATCTCCCACCTATATTCCAGTTGCCAATGACAGCCCCCAGCGTCTGTTGGAATGTTTACACAGCACTGGGTGACATTATTGACCAAATATGATCATGACTACTAGGGATGCACCAATACCGATACTAGTATGGGTGCAAATACCGAGAATTTGGGGCGAGTACCTGCACTTGCCCAAATGCTCTGATACCGGAACTTGCGGTCAGAGGAACATTTCCTCTGACCGGCAGTGCCGTAGGGGAACATGGAGCAGGCTTCCTGGGCAATCAGGAAGCCGGGTGGCGAGTAATGCCTCTCCTCCCGTTTTCCTGATTGGCCGGTAAGCCGGCTCCATGCTAATTGGCTGGGAAGCCAGCTTAATGCCGATTGGCTGGGAAGCCAGCTTTCTGGCCAATCAGCACCGAGCCGGCCGAACAGCCGGCTCCTTGCTGATTATCTGGGAAGCTGGTTTCCCGGCCAATCACAATCAAGCTTGCCAAACACCATGGAACCGGCTTCCCGGGCAATCAGGAAGCCGGGAAGCATCATTTAGCTGCGGTAGCAATACCACCTCAGAATTTATGACGTCCAGATTCAGCAGCTGGAGGTCAGGCATACGAACTGGCCAAATCTGGCTATTAAGTTGGCAAACTGCCAATAAGCTGGTTTTTGTGTCGAACTCAGGGTAAGCCTGAACCTGGAGCTCATCCCTAGTAGTGAAACGTCTTCAATATTATCGAACAATTATACAGGGGATGGGACTTATAGGTAAAACAAAAATGCTGGAGTTCTGCTTTGAAGCAAGCATTGTTCTCCATAACTGATTTGCAATGTTTGGGTCATTTGTTTGTTGCAATTATGCTTATGAGCACCTCAGTCATAGGAGCTCGTTATACCAGGGAAATGTTTCATTTGTTCTTCCTCTAAGTAGAATGAATTGCTATAAAGCAGAAGAAAGGATCATAGTTCCCCTGATGCACCGCTGTCACTGTCAGGTTGCAACCGACATGTGCACTGCCAAAAAATTTGTTTAGTTTTGTTTCGTTTTGATTCTGATTTGTGTTATTTCGTTTTTCGGGATTCGGGTGCGAAAGTCAATTCGGATTCGGAATTCGTTCGAACGAACTACAGCTACCGAATTTCGGAAACGGAAATTCGGATTCGTTTGCATTCATTATATCTGTAATTCGGAATTCGGATACATCCGAATGTCCGAATTTCCGAAAATACGTCCGAATTCCGTTTCGGAACGAAACGAATCGCACATGTCTACAACCGATATGGGGATAGACAGATGCCTACTCAGTGGTTACAGACAGACGTCTACTCACCCTGTGGGGACAAACAGACCTCTACAATCCCAGTAGGGACCGACAGACCTCTATAAACCCAGTAGGCACAGACATACGTCTATTTACAGTGGTTACAGACGCAGACATCTACCCACCCAATGGGGACAGACAGACGTCTACCAGCTCCGTGCGGATAGTCAGACGTCTACTCATCCAAGGGAGACAGACAGACATCTACTACCTTAGTGGAGACAGACAGATGCCTAATAAATTAGTGGAAACAGACAACAGACGTCTGCTCACTCGGGGGGACAGACAGATGGCTACCTGCTCATAGGGGACAGACAGATGTCTACTACTCGCTCAGTGGGGCAGACAGATGTCTACATTGCTTGCAATAGTTGGACCATTTGTTGCAATTATGAGCACCTCAGTCATAGGAACTCGTTATGGAGCAGGGAAGTGCTCATTTGTTCTTCCTCTAAGTAGAATGAATTGCTATGAAGCAGAGAAAAGGATCATAGTTCCACTGGTGCACCTCTGTCAGGTTGCAACACATATGGGTATAGACAGATGTCTACTCAGTCAGTGGGGGCAGATGTTTACTCACTCATAGGGGACAGACAGACATCCACCCACTTAATGGGGACAGACAGACATCTACTTACTCAGTGGAGACAGACAGGTGCCTACTCACTCAATGGGAACAGACAGATATCTGTCCCCATTAGTGAGTAGACATCTACTCACATAGTGGGGACAAACAGACCTCCACTCAGTAGGGACAGATCAACATCTACTGACTCATTAGGGACAGACAAACGTCTTCCCACTCATTGGGGACAGACGTCTACTCACTCAGTGCCGACAGATAAAGGTC